AATAATAATAATAATAATAATAATAATAATAATAATAATAATAATAATAATAATAATAATAATAATAATAATAATAATAATAATAATAATAATAATAATAATAATAATAGTAATAAAAATAATAGTGATAAATAATAATAATAATTATTAACAATAATAGTAATGAATAAATAATAAAAACAAAAAAGAGTGAAGATGGACCAAAAACACATTCTTCGAGCAGCAGATTGACAATTTTTTCTGCATACTATAAAAATACGTCAACATATGTTAATAAGAATCGTATGTGGAGAAGCGATATCTTCGTACTTTGTCCATCTTCAAGGCAATAAATAAAAAAAAAAGTGTATACAAGTAAATCGAAACAATCACGAATAAACAATCCAGATACCATACAGCGTATAGGCAGTGAAGGTCGCAGCAACCTGTTATAAAGCCTTGTGCTAAACAAATTCTAAATTCCAACAAAATTTCAACAAATCCCAAATTCCAACAAATTTCAAGCATTGATCTCAAGAAACTTGATGGATTCCAAACTTGACGTTTCCGGAAAAAAGTATCAGGTGTAGCAGGTCGCAAAGATACGAAGATATGCTGTTTGGTACGATTTAAATAATGAAGGCGAAAGTTTAAAGCAAAATTAAATCAATAAAATATCCTAAAACTGTTCCAAACCGTTGTTTGGAGATTAAAGCTAGCAAACAGAGTGCTAAAGTACGGTCACTTACATCAAGGGAGAGAAGTGCCGAGAATGCTCGCTCCATTATTTCGCATATAATAGCTCATAATCTGAATTATAGAATCAAATAAATCTAAATTCTCCCGAACAAACAAAATGTTTCACCCCTTCTGGAAATATTGGTTTCAAAATTTTTTTTTTCAAAATTTACCTTCTATATTGAAGATGAAAAACGAACATAGTAAATAGTCTCTAATTTGTAGCGAATTCATCCCTAATCTGTTTTTTCAACAATAAAGACTAAAAAGTAAAAACAAATAAGAATACAAAAATGCGCACCTAAATTTTTGAGTACCACACAGATGACTTCCTGGATATTATGAGATATAATTATAGAGAGGCATTAAGCCGAAAACGATGAGAGGAATGGAATTATAGGCATATGTGGAGACTCCCATTATAAATTGAATGCAAAATAGAAATGAATAAGCAAATGCTACTTTCATGTAATTTTAAAGCATTGCATACACTAAGATGACTACTACTACTTTTTTTTCTCTAAATTCATTGATAATCTTTTTTTCTTTCTTTAATACTAATTAGTTTATGCACGAAGTGTGTATGAATTACATGAAGCGTTATTGAGAGGGACATCAAATAAAACAAATTCTTCCATATGAAGTCCTTTTCATGGTGTACACGAAGTTTCCGCAATACATCAGTGAATCTTCACCTGCTTTCACTTTTTTTTTGGTCGTCATCCTATGATCCATAAACTGTCACATGATCGCATGATAATACTGTTGACTGCCTTTAGCATCTTTTTCATCCTACACCGATACTCGGATTCTGTTTATGATCAATTTCTATTACCAAACCTTTAAACTTATCCGGACTACACTGACCGCAGTAACCACCACAACGTCCAAATATTCGTGCATTATTCTGCAGCACATAATATCTATTCATAAAGTAATAAATGACAATATTCTTAACAATCCTAACAAAAATTTTAGTTAGTGCAAGGAAAAACTGTTGTGAAAAATCTACATGGATATATGCTTCATTTAATAACACTTCAATTATTCCCATACATTTACAAGACTATTCATAATTTCCATGGAATTTAATTTAAATGATAAATCTCATCATCGTTCTGATGTTTCCTGAACAAATTTATCAATCTTCTTTTATGAAAATAATGTTGGGACCTTTTAAATCCACACACAATTCTCAGCTTTTTCATCATTTTCAATAGTACATATTATCCGACATTTCTTATCAATGCCTTATTAACATCAGCAGTAGCTGATGCAAGATTGTACTGTGGAACAGTCCGTAAGACTAAATATTATGGTCACGTTCGAGAATACTTCCAAGTATTCCTTATACATTTTGGATTTGTCAAAAGAAAGTAAACATACATCAGAACGCTCAATTCTCGAACTTGTACGGTGTCCTTGATCAACCCACCGGAGGTCGTCCATCACTCGGAGACCCGTTCCTCTTAAATCGATACCGAATCGACCCTGAAAAAATAATGAAAGCTTTTCAATTTCAGAACAGTTGCCATGAAAATTTTAACAACAAAATATTAAGAAAAATCTACTGGTCTTCATTACGGAGTCTAAAAAGCGAAACCTGTGGGCAATCAACAGCGCTGTAACAATCACCAGCTGTTGCAAATGCTACTTCTTCACCATGTGATGTTGTTGCGAATGTGTGATCGTGAACTGCAATAAATCACTTTGAAGTATGTTCATCCTCAATACTTCCTTTTTATTAACCCTTCTTTGACTTTTGATCCATGATAAAGATGTCCTCTATGAACATTAAGTCTCGCTTATTCTAAGTCATGTTGATATACAGCTATTTTAATTGTCGAAATAAGCATCCAACTTGATCAAATTTCCAAGTTTCAGGACTCCAATTACAAAAAAAGAAAATAAAAAGACGTAAAAAAAACAACATTTCACCTATTACTTTGAGGTCAGAAAAACCATAAATTATTTTACATTATCATTCCGTTTCAATTAACAGTATTGAAACAGAATAATAAAATATGGTAATTCATTAGATCATAAAAAAACAACTCACTGTTTATTTTCATGTTGTGAAGATCGACACGAACTTTTGAAAAACTTGAGAAGCCAGCACTTGCACTTCCATCATCCGTGCACATGCATGTATCGTTACGTTGTCCGTTATGAGGACACGTAAATGGATACAACAGTCTAAATGAAAATAAAACATCAAATTATTACATCTAGAGAATTGTATTGTATATCTACGCCTCTTTATTTTGCTGATAACTAGAAGAGATGTTTCAGATAAGATTTGTAATCAGAAACAACTAAAATACTAAAACTATTCGGTCCTTTAATGTAGTAAATCACGTTACCAAGACTAGACGTTAGATGTGATGCAAGCTTTTTGGTTCCAAAAACTAGAAAAAGATGGATCTTTAAAAAAGTTAACATTTTAACCACACTTGCATTGAAACAATGCAAATATTCTAATGCATCATTCAGAAGAACTTTCAGCATCAATCCATACATAAAAATTTTGACTGATATTACCTTTTCCCGTAAATTTCTGCAAAATTAGTTTCGCTATTGAGATTGATGTACGTTTTTGGTAGCGTTTCATTCATTAGGTGACAATAAACGGTAATGCGAAAACCGGCTACCAGAACGGTATAATTGCCATCGACGGTGTTCTCCAGCGTAAAGTACGCTTTCAGTTCTGCACAATCACCTGGTAAGCCTGTAATATATTATTAACCTTAGATATTTGCAAAAGTTAATAA